TGGGAAACAATAGGTTACTGTCGTAACCCCGGTTCTCTGAAACATCGAGTGGAGAGATCCACCTATGGAAGGGCATCCGTACCTGACCTCTGCAGAAGCATCCAATTGCACCAAGTCTGGCTAGACAGACAGAAGCGCGCGGCAGTGCCCGATGAGGCCACACCCCTCACCCACGGGCATATAACATCTGGGCGCGCTGCTATTCCTCAGTAAGTATATTCGCTTCTCGTGCGGCAAGCGGGGCAAAGCTGGTGGATCTCTCCACTCGATGTTTCAGAGAACCGGGGTTACGACAGTAACCTATTGTTCTTTTCATCATCTCGTGTTCGAGATCCACCTATGGGAGAGACATGGACAGCTCCCCGATTGCCCAATACACTCACAGTGAGGTTCTGAAGCCAGAGAAGGACGGTCACCTCAGGGAGGCGGTGCCTGACACGTCCCTTAATCATGAGCCTGCGATGGTGAAACACACCTAACTAATGTGGACAAGCAGGACATGAAATACGCATGGGACACATGCGAGATAGTAACCCCAACCCACCAAGACATAATCTATACCCGAAAGGGGAAGAAATGATAGGTGACAGGAATGAACATGGCCAGTCAGCCCATTCACTCTTAATGGTATATATATACCAACAGGGTTACAGCAGGGAGGGGCTAAGACGACCCGACCCCTAGAACCGAATGTGCTACCGAGGTACTGGTGACATCCAGCCGGTAGTAGCGCACGAAGGTATGAGGAGAAGCCCAACTGGCAGCGGAGCAGATGTCCTGCAGTGACACTCCCCTAAACAGAGCCCAAGAGGTGGCTAAACCTCTTGTGGAATGAGCTCTGATGCCCCTAGGGGGCTGCACTCTCTTTGCTTTGTAAGCCATGGTAATAGCATCCACAACCCAATGTGAGAGGCGTTGCTTCAAAATTGGACTCCCTAAGTGAGGGGGAGCCCATGAAACAAAGAGCTGGTCGCTCTTCCGGAAAGCATTCGTCCTGGTCATATATGCCTGTAAGGCACGGACTGGACACAGAGCGTTCAGCCTCTGATCCTCTAGAGAGGTAAAAAGGTGGAGGGTGAAAAGCGGACAGCTCCAACACCTCCGAAGTGAACGCAGGGAAGCACTTCGGCATGAAGGCCGGGTTAGGCTTAAGGAAGACCTTATCTCCACTAAGAGAGAACTAGAGCACGAAGGATGAACCGAGAGTGCATGTAGCTAACTGACACGTTTAGCAGATGCCAAGGCCAAAAGCAAAGCTGTCTTGAGAGACAGCAGCTTAAGGGATATACTATCCAAAGGCTCAAAAGGGTGTTGAGACAGAGCTTCCAGCACCATGGAGAGGTCCCACTCCGGGACAGTTCTCCTGACGACTGGCAAAGAGCGGCGTGCACCCTTCATAAATCTACGGATTAGAGGGTGCTGACCGACGGTCGAGCCCTCAAAACCCACATGACAGGCTGAAATAGCAGCCAAGTGGACCTTAATGGTGGAAAAGGACCTGCCTTTATCCATGAGGTCTTGAAGGAAACACAAAATATCAGGAACTGAACACTGATAAGATGTGAAACCGCGCCCATCGCACCACCCCTCGAACACTTGCCACTTACAGCCATATACGGGCCGTGTAGAGACGGCCCTGGCATTCTGAATAGTGGTGACCACACGCGGCGAAAACCCAAGTGCGTTCAGGTTCGTCCTCTCACGGGCCAGGCCCAGAGAGCCAACCTGTCCGGCTGGGGGTGGTAAATCTCACCGTTGGCTTGGGATAATAGATCCGTGCGAACGGGAAGGCACAATGGCTCGGCGTATAACAGAGGGATTATCTCCGCCAGCCACGGTGCTTTGGGCCATCTGGGTGCTATCAGAATGAGAGACAGGCCCTGCTCTCTCACCCTGGCCAATGTGGGAATATCAGGCACAGGGGAGGAAAAGCATACAGGAGCACTCTAGGCCATGGGTGGGCCAGTGCGTCTACCCCGAGGGGCGCGTCCACGTCCCTTAGAGAGAAGAACATAGGACAATGGCAGTTTCCGCGCGAGGCGAATAGATCTACGCTCGCCCGTCCAAATCTCATCCATAGCATTTCCACTATCTGCGGATGAAGACGCCAATCCCGTAGATTGGGTTTCCCCTTGACAGCAGATGCGCCGACGTTCAGAATGCCTGGGACGTGAGTCGCGCGTAGCGACAAGAAAACCCGTCTGCTCCACACCAAGAGCTTGTGAGCTAGGAGGTGAAGTTTCGACGAGCGCAAGCTGTCCTGACGGTTGATATATGCCACAGCCGTGGTATTGTCGCACCGTACCAGCACATGATGTCCCTGCAGGCGAGGCAGAAAATGATTCAGAGCTTTACAATTGGTAAAAAAGCTCTAAATAATTTATATGTGCTGAACGTAGTCTGTTTGGCCACAGACCGTTCACCGTTTTGCCCTCCTGGGTGGCACCCCAGCCTGTTAAGGATGCATCTGTCGTCACCACTTTCCGCATCGTAACCGCCCCGAGAGGGGTTCCCCGTGCGTAAAAGTCTGCGTTCTTCCAATGGCGCAGGGCTGCAGTGCACGCGCGCGCGTCACTGTAACCGAGCGGCAAAGGTCGCGAATCGGGCTGAAATGTAGCGACAAAACCCATTTCATGAACGCCCTCATCTTAAGGAGTCCTAATGGCACAACTTGGGTGGATGAAGCCATGAGACCCTGCATCCTGAGACATGTGCGATATTGCACTTTCGCCCCTTCTCTGAACTGTGACAGACAGCTCATAGAGAGCGAACGCGCTCTAGAGAGAGACGCGCTCGCATGGCAACCGAGTTCAACTCCAAACCCAGGAAATTGACATTCTGACTGGGCGTGAGATAGCTCTTGCCCACGTTCACTTGGAACCCGAGCGATGTGATGTGCGCGAGCACACGGCCGGTGTCCTGCAACACCTTCTCCTTCGATTCGGCTATGATGAGCCAATCGTCTATGTAAGTCAGGATTCTCAGACCTGTTATTCTCAGAGGCGTTAAGCCCGCCTCCGCGCACAGACAGAAAGACCGGGGACTCAAACTGAGTCCAAACAGAAGAACTGTGAATTCGCAACATATGCCCTGGTAGGCAAAACGAAGAAAATTCCTGTGCGGAGGATAAATGCTTATGTGAAAGAAAGCATCTTTCAGATCGACTGATGTGAACCAGTCGTTCTGTTTTATGGCACGGGCGAGAGCGCCCTGTGTCAGCATTCTGAAGGAGTATTTCCTCAAATGTTTGTTCAACACTCGAAGGTCCAAGATAGGGCGGAGAGAGCCGCCTTTCTTTGGAACCAGAAAATACCGGGAATAAAAACCCTGGTTCATCAGATTGGGGGGTACCACCTGAATCGCTCCCTTGTTTAAGAGAGATGAATTTTCCTCTTCCAGAATGTGAGAAGCTTTCTCTTCCGTGTGAGAAAAGAGAATGCCGTTGAAATGAGAGGGTTTTACTGCGAATTGCAATCTGTAACCCTGCATTATTGTACGCATAACCCACTCGGGAGCCGAAACGGTTAGCCAAGCCGCTTCGTGACTCGCGAGTGTCCCCGCTCGGGACAGAGCAGAGCTGTGTCTTGAGACCAACAGAATTATTTGTGATGCAATGGCGCCATCTCGTGGGCACACTAGAGGCGACATGCGGGGGTTCGGAGGGGTTTTCTCTCTCTGCAGTGAGAAGGTTCTCTCTGCGGAAAGAGGTTTTTCCTCCGAAACGAATTTGTTAGATTCGTTATTATTTGTGTTTGTGTGTTTTGTGTTGGGCAAACACTGCGTGAACTGGGCAAACATAGTGTGGTGTACACTGTGCTAAACTTTACCCACAAGGAGCCCCTTGAAATTGGGGGGAAAAACACACATCTCCTGAACACATG